TGGCCCTTCTGCCCTCGTTTTCTCTGTATAATATGGCAGGCAGAGGTCACCCCTTAGGTACTCTTTCTAAATGTCCTGGATATTCTTGCTATTTCCATACTACCAGATAATTATCACCTATGAATTAAAAACCCTAGGTTGTTAATTTGCCTGCTAACTTTCCCTGACCATCCAATTAGATGGAAGTCATCTTTATCAAAGCCCATCAATTATGTTTTGTAGTTTTTGTTGCACAACATCTATTAAGATGTCACAAACACAGCAGGCCTTGATTAATCAGAAACAGTGTGGAAATCCCAAATGACCCATTATTGTTCCCTATTTTTTTATTTTGGATGGAAGGAGGGGCTAGATCTCCAAACCTAGAAAATATCTGAAACTATGTAAGCATCAAACTTCTACATGCAGTTCTTTCCTCTTCATCAATGCATTAACAATTTCTTTTCCATTTTAACTAAGCATTTCTCATGCAATGTGGTTGTCATTTTTGCATTTTGAGTTCTAAGAAACTAACAAATTCATTTTTCATCTTTCCCAGTTTCACATGCACGTTTCCTTCTTACAAGGACCATAGCATTCTAGGGATATGCAAGCGGTCTTTCCTTATTAGATTGAGAACATGCACTATCTCAGCTAAAATATGCACTTATGGCTTCTCTTTGGCGTATCTATCCTTCAGCTGTTGTGTTTTGGAGTCATTATTAAGTGAAATGATGTTTCCTTGAACATTTACTTGAACACAGTATTATCATAGAGTATGAAGATACCACAACTGGGCAGAGGGGGTGGTTCACCTGCTTCCACGGGATGGAGCAGGGTGGTGGCAGATTTCACCATGCTCCCCAGAATTCCTTGCGATTTAAAACTTATTAATTGATGATTTCCAGATTTTCCAATTGATATTTTCAGACCATAGCATGTAACTGAAATCCAGGAAAGTACAGATAAAAGGGAATCATTGTGCATATGGCCAGCATTTACTGATTGACTGACTGGACAGTTGTGTGTGTTTCGAATAAAGACATTATGAAAAAACAAGGGGAGAGGTGACGCTCATTCAAAAAGAAATGTACTTATCACCTGACTTATGTAACTGTAATCCCTCTGTACATCACCTTTACAATAAAAAATTAAAAATAAATGGATACACTGGGTGCTGGTGGCTCATGCCTATAATCCTAGCTACTCAGGAGGCTGAGATCTGAGGATAACGGTACAAAGCCAGCCCAGGCAAGGAAATCTGTGAAACTCTTATCTTCAATTAACCACCAGAAAACTGGAAATGGTGCTGTGGCTCAAGTGGTAGAGTGCTTGCCTTGAGCTGAAGAGCTCAGGGATAGCACCTAGGCCTAGAGTTCAAGACCCATGACCAACCTAAATAGATAGATAGAGAGATAGAGAGATAGAGAGATAGATAAATGAAATTTACTTAAATAAAAAAAGACATTATGAGAAACAGAAACATCTAATTCAGACTACTGATTCTGTCTTGCAGGAAAAAGAAATGATCTGAGGTAAATGCAAGTTTGGTAATGTTTTCTTTGGGGTGGTATTGAACTCAGGGCCTTGTACTCTTACATGGCATGGGGGGGCATGCTAGTATGGGGGTTTCAACTCAGGACCTAGGTGCTGTCCCTTGGTTTATTCCACTGAAGGCTGGCACTCTATCCCTCCAGCCACACCTCTACTTGTGACTTTGGGTGGTTAATAGGAGATCGAAGACTTTCAGATTTATCTCTAGGTCTGCTTTGAACCAAGATCCTCAGATCTCAGCCTCCTGAGTAGCTAGAATTATAGGCGTGAGCCACTGGTGCCTGGCTTGTTCTGGGTGGCAACCATATGACTATTTGTTAAATAGTGAGAAATTATATTTTACTGATTAAAGCATAACTGTGGTTTCCACATTATCTGAGAAATTCTCCTGACCTAAGAAAAAAAGCACTTAAAATACTGTCTTAGACAAAAAGAGATTGAGTGAAAATTTCAAACTATAACTCCACAAACTCTGTTAATTAATATTTTATCTGGCAGAAATATTTATGAGACATTACCAGTTTCATATATGCAAATGGAACTTCTATAAATAGGAGAAAAAACAATTTCCTATGAGTGTCATATTCCGAAGAGAAAACTTGAATGGGGAATTCATCTCCTGCTTGATGAAGGAAGGTAAGAAAGACAGATGAAAGGGACAGAGGAGGTGAGTCTGCTTGCTAATTAACTGTGATGACACACTTACATTCTCTGTTACTTTCCACCATCACAGTGATCAGACAATGAGACGCCGAGTCCCATTAAAAAGCTCCTCAAGTAGTTCTACAATCTTTCCATCTATTCTTAAATGCCATTTCTGATCTTTGGCTACCTTAACTTTGCACCGAACCAGTCAGGACTAGAATTTCCATACTTCTCATTCTTCAGGTCCTGGCTGAGAACGGTTACCTGGTTTGGGCTTATATCACTGATAGAATATTTAAAAAGTGACATTTCCCAGACCATTCAATTTAAAAAAAAATAGCCAGAGCCAGGCACTGGCTACCCAGAAGGTTGAGATCTGAGGATCACGGTTCAAAGCCAGCTCAAGCAGTTAAGTCCATGAGACTCTTATCTCCAATTAATCACCAAAAAGCCAGAAAGTAGGAATGTAGCTCATGTGGCAGTACACCAGCCTTGAGCAAAAAAGCTAACAGATAGTCCCCTCCCTGCAAACTAACCAAGGCAGAAGGAATATTACAGTCCTTATACTTACTCAAAGACCAATGACTGCTGCCCTGGGACATAGACCTTGACGATCTAGTAGATGCCTCTGAGATCTGTGTTTTACCCGGATCTCAGAGCCATGCAGCCAGTCCTCTACCGAGAACTGGGAACTGAAGGATGCAAACCCTTTCTTTTTAGTGTTATCCATAAGATCAACCAACATCGGACATAGATGAGCTCAAAGGCAGGCCAAGGCTCCTAAAGGGGACAGAAAGTCAGGGCCTAATGTGGTCACACTGAGTAACCAGCCTCTCTACAGAGAACAGAGGGGTGTATCCAGGGCAGGCCCTGCTCCCCCGCCCCCCCGCCCCCATCTCCCTAAGAGATGGAGTGGAGGACTGCAGGGGTTTCTTTCCATGACTAGGACAGACTTGATGCCCTCCAATCCCAGTGACAGTCTTCTTATTGCTCCTGAGTCTACTCATTTCCCTCTTGCAGTGTGATAGAGAGGTATGGGGAATGCCACGTGCTGTCCGTCAGGGCCTGCCTCCCCATACTGAACCCAAAAGGCTGCGTAATAGACACAGAGAGGTCACAACTGACCCACGAAATCCTAGAAACACCTGCTGGTCCACCCCAGACACCGCCTCTCCCTTGGCAGGGAGGGGTCTGCCTGCGTCTCTCCTACAGCTCAGACAAACTGAAGAAGAGATTCATGTTCACATTTTCCTCAAGGTGGGGAGGCCCAGGAGGTAGTGAAGTCCCAACAAGGCCTATGAGCTGTTCATCTCTGTCATTGGAGGGCCATTTCCCTGCCATTCCTGGCCAGCCACAAGACAACTGTGCTGGGGGAAAGTGAAGCAGAGAGACTGGGATCAGCAGAGATTCTTTTTTTTTTTTTTGGGGGGGGGGGGTCCGGTCGTGGGGTCTGAACTCTGGGCCTGGGCACTGTCCCTCAGCTCTTCAGCTCAAGGCTAGCACTCTACCTCTTGAGCCACAGCGCCACTTCCGGCTTTTTTCTTTTTGCTTATGTGGTGCTGAGGAATCGAACCCAGGGCCTCAGGCATGCAAGGCAAGCACTCTACCACTGAGCCACCTTCCCAGCCCCGATCAGCAGAGATTCTTTCTTCTCCTCTTCCACCATCTCCTCTTCCTTCTCCTCCACCACCACCACCATCACCTCCTCCTCCTCCTCCTCCTTCTCCACCATCATCTCCTCCTCCTCCTCCTCCTCCTCCTCCTCCTCCTCCTCCTCCTCCTCCTCCTCCTCCTCCTCCTCCTCCTCCTCCTCCTCCTCCTCCTCCTCCTCTTTTTCTTCCTTCTTCCTTCTCCTTTATTCTCCTTCTCCTTCTCCTTCTTGAACTCAGGGTTTTGCTATCTTCCTTAGCTTTTTTTTGTCAAGGCTTACCCTCTCCCATTCCAGCCACACCTTCATATTTTCACTTTGTGGTGGTTACTTGGAGATAAGATATCTCATGGACTTTTCTGCCAGTCTGACTTCCAAGTTCAATCCTTAGACTTCAGCCTCACCAGTAGTGAGGATGACAGGTGTGAGCCCTGGCCTTCACCTCCATTCCAGCCACAGGAGTGGGAAGCTGACACCCAGACTGGAGGTAAGGCCACACGCCCTACTTACTGCTCCCCATGTCAGAAAGGGCACCCAGATCCTGCCATGTCCTCTCCCCCAGGGCAGACTGCCTGCACAGCCCTCCAGGGCTCGGACCTGCTGTCTTCTACCCTGAAAGAGGAGCAGTGGTGCACCTCTTGGTAAACTCACTCTCGCATGCTGGTTGCTCAGGGATGGGGCACGCGCGGGAGGGGGGGGGGCGTTCCCACACAGGCAGGGCCGCTCGCACGCGCTCACACGTTCACATCCAGGTGCACCCCCCCACCTTGCACCTGCAAGACCGGAGGCACCCCAACACCAGCCGGGGAGCCACCGAGACAGTCAGAAAGCTGTAGAGGAAGGAGGTGGGCTGGGAAAGGGAGCCGAGGGGAGTTCCCTCTCTGCCTTCCCCCTCTCCATCCAACTCCTGGGAAACACCGGGTGTCTCGGGGTTGCGTGTAGCCCCTGCCCTCCCCGCCAGCCACCGTCCACCCCCGATACTGCCTTCTGCCTATGGCTCTTTAAATCGTGTTATTATCTGGAGATCCTTTTGTATCGGGGAAGAGAAGAGAAGCCAGAGATCAGAAGGAGGAGGGAACTAAGGGAGGGCGGGAGGGAGGAGGGCGAGGAGGGAGGTGGGAAGGAGGGCGCAGCGCCTCCGGTAGCTCCCAGCCAGGGAAGGGACCGGATGGTCTAGACGCCGCCGCCGGTGCCCACGGGACCCACGACAAGAGCGAGGCTCTGAGCGGGTCATGGCTAAGGCTGCAGAGCCCGGACCAAAGCCCTGATCGCCTCGCTGCGCACAGCCTCTGAGGGACAGCCCTGAAGTTCGCATCCTGACGCTCGAAAGCGCCCATCTGGACAAGTAAGTTGGCTTCTTTTCCTTCCCCATTTCTCTCCCAGACCAGAGCAGGATGGCCAGATGGACCTTCTCTGGGGTGCCCGGTACCCCAAGCAGCATACTCCTCCCACCCACCCCCGCTGCGCCTCCTGAGACTCCCAGATTTGGGACAGGTGGGATTCCAAACCAAGGCTCTGGGAGGGCCCAAAGTTCAGCCAGGGAAACTGGAGCTGTCTTTAGCAGTGGCTGCCTCCCACATCTGTGCCCTAGATCTCCCTGTCTGAGGGTGGGGGTAAGGGGTCAGGACCATCCATCTTTGCTTTACAAGCCAGGCACCTAGGAGGAAGGGAGGAAGACATGACTGTCCTCCATGGAGGGCTCAGAAAGGACCAGGATGCGCTGTGGGTGGCTTAATCTTGCTTTTTCTTCGAAGTGTGGCCAGATTGGAAACTTGGCTTTGTGATTTCTGCCCTCCCTGCTGCCAGGTCACTTCCTGTACTTCTCCTTTCTTCTTTCTAAATGTCTCTCAAACGTTCAGAAAGGCCTGGGTCTGTGTGCAAGGTCAGAGGATGGGAATCTAGGGGAGACATCTTGTTCTGATCTTTTTTTTTTTTTTTTTTTTTGGTTGGTTGTGAGGCTTGAACTCAGGACCTGGGGGCTGTCCCTGAGTGTCTTTGTATTCAAGGCTAGTGCTCTACCACTTGAGCCACCACACCTTTCTGGTTTTTGAGCAGTTAATTAGAAATAAGTCTCATGGGAACTTTTCTGTCCAGACTGGCTTCAAACCACAATCCTCAGATCTCAGCCTCCTGAGTAGCTAGAACTACAGGTGTGAGCCACCGGCACTTGGCTTTGATCTTTTTTTTTTCTCATGCCTGGGATGCTACTCCAAGAGCCCCTGAAGTTGTGGAGTGGAGTTAGGTCAGAGTGGGCTCCTCTGATGGTGTTTGGAACCCCCAAAATAGGAGGTTGAGAGTGGAGGGGAGGGGGAGGGGTAAAAGCCTGCCCAGTTCCAAGTGTTTATTCTCTTCCGATCCTTTTTAAAAAGCAGAATTTACCATCTTTTACTGGGTGAGAAATGGCAGCCCAGAAAGGCTGTGTAACTTTGCCCGAGGTCCTCAGCTTACAGAAGGAGATTCTCATCTAGGTCCAACTATGAAATGTACTTTATCTTCATCCAAAGCAAGCTCTGATCCACAGACTGTTCCCATGTGGAACAGAAGAGTGTGAAAAGAAGACCATCTTTATGGCTCCTCACTAGAACATATTTCAGTGAGTTCATCCTGACAGCAGTCCTTTGAGGCAGAGCTTGCTTCTTCTCTTGGTTTCTTGATGAGACTGAAGCTAATAGAATTCTGAGCACAAATGCAGTGCTGTTATCCTTGAAGCCTTCTGACCTCTGGCTTCAAATCCAGGGTCTTTCCATTATCAAACACTAACCGTGGGAGAAGTACTGGTCTTCTCAGATCTATGCCTTTGGCTTAGATGCAGTGGTACATCCCATCCGCTGGCTCTCTGGATTCTGGGGGATGAATAGAGCAGAGTCAGAGCTGTAGGAATCCAGCCCTGGGTTGGGTTCTAACAGGAAAAGCTTCCCTGGGATTATAGACTATTGATCTATTGAGACGTTGTATTCTGCTCTGGCCCCAGGGCCTTCTGGGTGGCTGTGGTTCCTGGACTTCATACCATGCTCTCCAACTGACAGGAGAGCTAGCATTCAGGCAAAGCCTCTCCAAAAGCTGCCCCAACTACTCACTCACAGGCAGCATTTCTCACTTTGGTGGAAGGTCTGCCTTCCACAGAAAACAAGTGCCCTGCAGCTAGTAAGCAATTCAGGAGGAGAAAGCAAGGTGGAAAGGAGGATAGTGAAAATGAGATCTGGGGCTTGCTTCCTGGGCCCAGGGTTGGCCCAGAGCTGAGCTGCCTGTTCTGATCTCAGTAGGATTTCCCAAGCTGGGTCGTGTCCCCCAAAGGCTTCGCCCTTTCTCCATGGGTCCAGCAGACACATCAACGTGACTCTGTCACTAGGTTCTCTTGGCCCAGCTGCCACTGGTACAGGCTGTTGTATAGCAAGGTCCTTTTGGGGTTTTCTGCAAGCACTTGATTGAGCTTGAATTTGGGAGACACCCCAAAAGCTGCTTTCGTGATCCGTGAAAAGGTGAACATCACAGAAGGGAGTGAGTACCCCTTCTCCACATTCCACATGTTGTTAAATTGACAAAGACTCTGCCTTTGACCTGTGAAGCAAAAACACCAGTGTGATGTGCATGCATGCACTTAAAGACTGTATCTACTTCTGTAGTTTGTTTTGTTTTGTTTTTGCTGTTCCTAGGGCTTGAACTCTGGGCCTGAGCACTGTCCCTGTGCCAATTTGTACTCAGGCTAGCACTCTACCATTGAGCCATAGCACTACTTCCAGCTTTTTCTGATTAGTTTGCTGGAGATAAGAGTCTCACAGACTTGCCTGCCTGGGCTGGCTTTGATCCATGATCCTCAGCCTCCTGAGTAGCTATGATTACAGGCGTGAACCCAGGCTGGGTTTGGGTTTGTGTGTGTGTGTTTTAATTTTTATTTAGTTATTTTTTGTGTGTATGGCAGTACTGGGACTTGAACTTAACACCTGAGCATTGTCTCTTAGCTTTTTCTTTCAAGGCTGGTGTTCTATCATTTGAGCCACAACTTCACTTCTGGCTTGCTGGTGAACCTCAGTCTTCATATCTGAGCCTCCTGAGTAGCTAGGATTACAGGTATGAACCATTGGCACCTGGCTATTCTTTTTGTAAGTCAGTTTAACTTACCCTTATTTGATCATTTAGCATGTGCCAGGAATTATTAATTTTTAAAGACCTTGAAATGAGATCCTCTTGGTCAGGCTTATGTTTTCTATGTCTAAGAATATTAGCAAACGCTTGTTTGCATTTCCTAAGCCAGTACTGATTGGAATTTTAGATGGGAGGACAAAGGAGAGAAGGCAGGGAGCCAGGAATAGTTCATAGGAGCCATTTTTTAGATGAAACTTAACACCCTGTGTGAACTACAAACCAGCCATTGAGAGCTAGCAGTATTTGTAAAAGAGGACAAATCACCAGACAACCACTATGACAGATTGTCATCAGCCATGGAAGAATCTTTCTGTGGCTTCTAACTGAAGAATGAGAGTTCAGACACAAAAGACTGTAGGCACACACACACACACACACACACACACACACACACATAAATGCAACTTGGAAAATGGCTATCTCTGAGATTATTTTGAAAACAGAAAGGACAGAATCCCCAGGCACAGATAACCAGCCTCAGTATCTACTTCCTCCTACCTTGACATTCTGATAAGGGAGCTATTCTCGCCCCTGGAGCCCAGAGTGGCAGCAAGCCTTGCCAAGAGCTGTGTTGAGTTAAATGTCAGAGCCAAACCTTTAACCAAGGACTATGGAGATGCTGGTTGGGGCTTTCAGTGTTAAGTTCCATTATCATTCTAACCACCGGCAGTGTGGGGGGCAAAGGTCAGGGAGAATCTGGTCAGTTGGCAGGTGGCAACAGCACTGATGGGCCGCCAAGGATAAACCCCTGTGGGGAGGAAGGGCAATGAGGCTGAGGACAAAGGGGGTGGGGAGGAAGGGGCTGCAGCTGGCAGGCTCACCCGCCTGACCTTGACTTGCTTGTTTGGGGCTGAATATACTCCCAGCCCCTAACATCTCACATTTCAGAGAAATGTGAGAAACCACCAAGTCCCAAAGTCATCTTCCTATATGTTCTCTCTTGGGCTCAGAGAGGGAGCCAGGAGAGGAGAGCAAGAACCACAAGGATTTCACCTGCTGCCTTGGACCTCAGATTCCTGCCCTTCCTACTCGCTGCCCCCCTCCACACAGACACACAAAACTCTCCATCCCCAGACCAGAAATTCCCACTGAGCATTTGCCATGGTGATAAGGGATTGAAGCTCAGGAGAGCAACAGGCATGAGATGCTGCCTCTGCTCCTGGAAAATGGCCATCCCCAGGGCTAACACAAGCTTCAGGTGTCCAGTCCTAGAGATCCTGACAGCCAGGTAACTGTGCTAAAGCCAGCAGTCCCGCTGAACACCAAGACACAAGGCCTCTCTGGCCCAAGTCAGGTGGCCTTTGCTGTTCTGCAGGAACCTCTTGGTCCAATGGGCTCAATAATTTACTCACATCTTTTCCAAACTCCATGTGGAACTCCTAAGAGAGAAGATGTGAAGAGAGAAGATGGTGCCTCTCTTCAGTGGGCACAAAGAGAGAAGATGGGATTATTGGCAAAGGTTTCCTGCCAAAGAATAAATAATAACCTAGGTAGTAGGCGCTGTGCGGGAGATGTGCAGAAAGCCTGGAGACAGAGAGCTAGCTTTGCTGGAGGCTGGGGGGGGGGGGGGGGGGGGGCTGGGGGGGGTCAGAAAAATCCTACAGGGCCTTCCAAAACACATGTGCTAGTGGCTGGATGGAGGCTGTCCTGAAAGCAGTTTAGAGAGGAGACAGCACAAATTAGACACAGGGTAGGGCAGAGGAAGGCTGGAAGAGGAGAGGTCAGCCATGCGAGCCTGGGCCTGGGCTTGCACTCTTGGGAGACTCCTGGCCTCCATCTCATCACCAGCAGATGTGTTTTGGAAGGCCCGGTCGGACTTTCCTGATGCCCCCTGGCAAAGCCAGGTCTCCCTCCCCAGGGTTTTTGTGCATCTCTCTAACAGCACCTACCACGGAGGTTATAATTCCCGGGGGATCCCAGTCTGGCCTCCTCTCTGGCCACCTCCCCGCACCCCTTCAGGTGCTCATACTTGATTACCTTTGCTTCCTCCCTCCCTTCCTCGCTCCATTTGGCTCTTTCCCCCACCCTCCCCCTTTAGCTTTCTTCCCATTTCTTCTCTTGGCCATACCTGCGTTCAGCTTTAGTCTAGTCCCTTTTCCAACTATATTCATTCTCTTTTTTTTAATCTATAGATATTGTTTTAATTTTAGATCATTGTAGATTTACTTACAGTTTAAGAAATAATGCAGAGAACCAGCTCAA